TAATAATTTATTACTATGCGATAAGTCAAGATTATTTTTTGTGTAGTATTCTGCCCCCTGTTATCAGGTGTATCTGATTGTGTACAATAGGATTTTGACCAAAGCTTTTACCATTAAATTATGCAAAAGGTGTCAGACGCAAAACATTTCAGAAACCGTATGAATCAAATATGAAATGTTTGGCATTACTTAGTTAAATAACATAATAACATGCAGAAAGAAAAGGGCCAACCTTCTGGATCTTTTTCAGAAAAAATCCTCCAATTTCTAACAGAAAGGCTCATTTTGGGTTTGTAGAGTGACCTGACCAGGCAGAAATTAAACTCCAGTTTAATACATCATGTTATCTGAATATTAACCCTCTGTGGCATGACTTTTTATTCATCTGGCAAAAAATCTCACCCCCTTTTTGGGGAGCTCAAATAGTCATCCTAAAACCTGAGACCTGAGAAGTTGAATGAAAACTAGTTAACCCTTTAAAGCCCGATCCATGAAAAATAGGAAGATTATTGGATTTTTTTAGTCTGAAGTCTTTCTTTGGCCCCTCAACAACATATGAAGAAAAAAAAAGTCTTCTAGCTGTTATCAGGTATATCTGAATGTGTACAACAGGGGTTTGAGCAAAGCTTTTACCACTGAATGATGCAAAAAGTCTCAGATCCAAAAGACTTCAGAAACCGTGTGTATCAAATATGATATATTTGGCATTATAGAGTTAAATTAGACAAATATAAACAGTCGCACACAGCCTGTTTAACCAGGAAGTTCTTTAACGTTCAAGAAACATCTGGACAAACTTCTAAAATGGACATTTCTTATGTTTTTCTTATGTGTCTTATGTGCCATAGAGAGTTAAATTAGCCCTATAATGCCAGATGTGTCATATTTGATACATTCGGTTTCTGAAGTCTTTTGGATCTGAGACTTTTCGCATCATTCAGTGGTAAAAGCTTTGCTCAAACCCCTGTTGTACACATTCAGATATACCTGATAAGCCTGATATAAGACGCCAAACATTTAGATTCCAGGTTGTGGCGTTTGTTGAATCCAGAGGACCGACCACTGACCATGGAGAC